TAAAATTCTAGAGTTCATTAGTTTGTGGTTTTTTTAAAATATGTTTTTGCTGATATTAGAGGGAGAGGAAGACAGAGAGACACATCAATGTGAGAGAGAAACATCGATTGGTTGTTTCCTGTACCAGGATGAACCCATAACCTGGGCATGTGCCCCAACTGGGAATCGAACCAGCAACCTTTCAGTGCACAGGACGATGCTCAACCAACTAAGCCATATTGGCCAAGGCAGTTTATCTTTTATTTTAATCAAAGTTACATTTTTTATTATCCTCTGCTCTGCCAGCCTGGTCGGGGTCAACTTGTTTTGGGTCAGCCAAGTTAGTTTTTGTTGGTCCATTTGTTTTTTGTTCTCTACATTTTGTTGCTTTTGGCTCCTTGCCTATTCTCTTTGTCTTAGAGCAGAGTTGACAAACATTTCTGTAAAGGTCCTGATAGTGAATGTTTTATGCTGTATGGGCTATTTGGCCATTGTTGGAACTATTCAACTCCACCATTGTAAAGCAAGAGCAGCCATAGACATTAGGTAAATAAATGAGTGGGCTGTGTTCCAGTCAAACTTTATTTACCAAATCAGGTGGCAGGCTATATTTGGCCCATGGGCTATAGGTTGCCAGCCCTCTCTTAGAAAGTTTATGTTCTTTCAAAATCCCTTTACTTATATTTAGTAGGAAGTAGAGGCTACTGAGTGCATTCAACCAACCTAATAACTACAGGTCCCAGACTAAGATATTACTTTTTTGTTGCTTAGAATTGGAACTGAAATATCAGGTTGAGTCTTTAAACTATGGAGGGAATGGACTAGCTGATCATTATCCCTATGTCATTTCATAGAGAATCAGATATGAGGGTAGAAGATAAAGTAATTAGAGCAAGGAAGAGAGAACCTGCCTTAATACCTACATGTTCTGTCCCTACCTCAGGCATGGTGGTTTTCTGGAACCTTCCCACTAACTCGCCCCTGCAGCGGATACGGCTCTCTGATGGCTCTTTGAAGCTCTACCCCTTCCAGGGTTTCCTAGCCCATGACCAGGCTGTGCGTACCCTTCAGTGGTGCAAAGCCAACAGGTTGGAATAGGAGAGTTGTGGAGGTGGGAGGTGAAGCTGTGTTAAGCTGACTCTTCCAGACTGGTTCAGATTTTAACTTCTCCCTCCTCTTTCATCTTTCCACAGTCATTTCATAGTGTCTGCAGGGAGCGATCGGAAAATCAAATTCTGGGACCTTCGACGACCTTATGAACCAATAAATGCTATCAAGCGCTTCTTGAGTACAGAGCTGGCCTGGCTGCTCCCCTACAATGGTGTCACTGTGGCGCAGGACAACTGCTATGCCTCGTATGGCAGGATGGAGATAGGAGAAGCTCAGGGGACAGACCCTAGGGGTTGGGGTGCCAGAGTGTTCCAGATTGTTGTGTGGGGAGAGGAGGGTTGAGGATTGTTTCAGTGAGGTAGTTTGAATTCTGGAAGGACATGGGGAGAAGAAATGGATCTAATCTAGAAAAAGGAAGGTTTCATTTTCTCTTTCTCTTATAGTTATGGCCTCTGTGGAATTCATTATATTGATGCTGGTTACCTTGGTTTCAAGGCCTACTTCACTGCTCCTCGAAAAGGCACCGTCTGGGTGAGCCCCTCTCTTTGAAATCTTCATTATACAGGAAAATGATTCATTTACTCATCTAGTGGTGGTCAGGAAGAGGTAGTAGTTTTTTACGGAAGAAGATAGGTGTGTGGGAACTGTATCATCAGGGATATGGGTTATGATAACCTCATTTGTGTGTGTGTTTCTCCCCCGAGACTGCAGTTATTACCCGTTCACAGAACTGAAGGAATCTGCCTCTTCTTATTAGAGTCTTTCAGGATCCGACTGGCTTGGGACAATAGCTGCAGGAGATACATCCGGGGAGCTCATTGCAGCTATATTGCCTGATATGGCACTGAACCCAATAACTGTCAAGCGACCTGTAGAGCGAAGATTTGTACGTATTTGAGTGTTTAATGGCAGCACCATTTATTAGTTCCTAATCCACATGACCTCCCAAATTAGTACTACAGATTAGTTCAAATTAATACCAGGTTGCACAGGTTTTATCCCCGGAAGTCTTGTTACACATAATATTGCCTACCCTAGTTCATCTGAAAATCTGTTTAAACATACTACTTTCTCCATATTTAAGTCTCTCCTGCCCCAAATCAATTTTCTCTCTTTACTTTCATTTTGTCTTCAGTCTCATGAGACCTAATCTTATGGTCTCCTTTCTAGCCTATATATAAAGCAGATCTGATGCCGTATCAGGATAGTCCTGAAGGTCAAGACCACTCTTCTGCTGCATCTGGAGCCCTCAACCCACCCAAGGCTCGAACTTATGCTGAAACCGTCAACCATCACTACTTGCTCTTTCAAGACACAGATTTGGTAAATTGGCCCAAGAGAATGGGTGTGGCACTAGGAAGAGTAGCAAACTTTAGTCCTTATATAACAGGGAATCCTAAAGCGTTCCAGCACAAAGATGCAAACCTAAGAAGCTGCTCATTGTCTCTCATTACACTTCCCCTCCCCAGGGTTCGTTCCATGATCTGCTCCGTAGAGAACCAGTGCTGCGGATGCAGGAGGGAGAGGGGCACGCTCAGCTCTGTCTGGACAGGCTGCAGCTGGAGGCTATTCATAAAGTAAGAACCTCGCCTCTTATCTTCTCCACCCGTCGCTCTCATTTTCTCCCAACTCTGGACCTGTGATCAGTGAAATGGGAGATGAAAAGCAACCAAGGGGGCTTAGGAGGGAAGAGCTCTGGAAAACTCATCTTCAAGAACTTACTTTGTTCACTGTCTTCTCACCCCCTCATGGTCCTATCCTGTCAGATTGTGGCCAGGTTTTTTGCTCTCACGGCTGGGACTCACCCTAAAACACCAACTATGAGCATCTCTCTTTTGTTTTCTATTCTCTTCACAGGTACGTTTCAGCCCAAACCTGGACTCCTATGGATGGCTCGTATCTGGGGGGCAGTCAGGGCTGGTTCGGATCCATTTTGTGCGTGGACTCACCTCCCCATTGGGCCACCGTATGCAGCTTGAAAGCCGAGACCACTTCAATGCTGTGTTCCAATCGTCCTCCCCTACTAACGGGCCTGGCTTCTCTTCAACCAGCCATCGCCTTCTGCCCCGTCCCTAGCCGTGGTCCACACAAGACCCTTGAATGAAGTCTGCCAAGAACAAGTGGCCCCAGGCATAGACCATAGAAACTGGGCCTTCTTGGACAGTGATGCTGCCAGGCCTGGACCTTTAGACCTGCCTCCCAGGATTCCTTAGATACCTCTCCTTCCATCGACTTCAGCTATCATCACGGCCCCTGTGGGCAGGGAGGCTTGCCCTCCACGAACTCGCAAGGCTCCTTAGCCTAAAACTGGCTCACAAGAAACACTCAGGCCTGATCTAGGCTTGGGAGTCAAATTGCTCATATTGAGCATATTGTGAAGTGGGTAAAGCTAAGTAAAGGTACTGGGTGTTTTTGAGACCACATGTGAGTGGGTGTTTGGAAAACTGGAAAGAGTATTTGCAGGAAGGCTTCTGTCTGACTGTGTTCCAGGATCCAGGATTACTGCCCTGCCAGCTTCCTGTTTAGAGTAACCAACATGCAAGCCCACGGGGGCGGGGGTAGTAAGTTGTTGGCCTGAAGCTGCTTATAGTGGTTCTTTAACTGAGGAACACCACACACCACCAGGAGAACGGTGGTTCAGATCTTACTTGCTCCTGCTTAGGAAATATTCCTGATCACTGGTCATCTGACCCTACTTGAACACTCCTAGACAGTCATGTTTTAAAACATCTTCCTTTATATCCAGTCAGAGTATACCTCTATAGATTTTACCTTTGGTATTAGGAATTCTAGTAATTCCCACCTGTGATTGCCCTTTTAAGTGTTTAAAATAGCTATTAGATGTTTCCCAAGTCTTTTCTTCTCTAGATTAAATATCTTCAGTTACCTTAACCATTCTTTTACACGTTATGATTTTTGACCCTTCATGATACTGTCACATTAAACATGTTTAACTACTTTATTTCAACCCTATATATAGATGTTTAGAACCCAAATACAGTAAGTCCACACTTATTATCAATAGCTTGTGTGACATTTTTTTTTAATGTCTTGATTTTTAGAGATAGGGAGGGAGAGAGAAAGAGAGAATCGATTTTTTTGTTTTGTTCCATTCATTCATTCACTCATTGGTTGCTTCTTTTATGTGCCCTGATTGGAGATCAAACCCGCAATCTTGGTGTATTGGGACGATGCTCTAACCAACAGAGCTACCCAACCAGGGCAAGGTTCTGTGACTTTAAACAACATATAAGGAAACAAACTTTATTATAGGTGAATTGATATAAACAAGATTTAAGTTCCTATGGCATCTCATTATAATGAAATGATGTTATTTGAGGACCTGCTGTATTGTTACAGCTCATCTTGTTAAAATCCTTTTGTGGGGTGCTGCAGGCTCATGACTGCAATACTGCTTGCTAAGCTAGGACATACCCCAGCAATGAGAAAGAGGCAAATCATAGTTTTGGAATGTATAAGAGTACAATCTGAGGTTTCGGGTAAGTAGATGGCTTCAACTATTCTAGAGAAAAATACACAGCCAGCTGCTATTTGAAGGGAGTAGAAATTAGTTTAGTGCCCACCTGGAACAAAGCCCTCTGGCACTCTATCTAGACTGATTGGCCAGATATCTGGGAATAGCTTTCTGCCTCTTAAGTGTAAGGAATTTATCAAATGTCAGAAAACCTTTAAGGAAGGAATCAAGTACTTCAATTTCCTTCCTGTACAGAAGAGGAAACAGACCTGGAGGCAACCCAGACCATTAGTAGCAGAGGAACCACAGCCCACGTCAGTGCAAAAGAGCCAAGTATTGCACCATCCTATTGTGATCCAGCTCAGGTTGTGCCAGTTCTCTTTTTGAGCTGATTGATAAGGAACTGCCTTCCACTGCAGAGAAATTCCCGCATCCTACACAGTAGTCCCTTGACACTGCATTATTGAAATCGCCCTCTCAGTGGTAAAAAGGATGGGACCTGGGGACCCATGCTATTGAGGCTGTAGGTGGGTGCTGGCAACCCTGCTGCTGAGTGTCAGCCCGTCTTGACCTACAAAAGAAAATCAGAAAGACGTTTTCAGCCTTGCTTTCTCTCCAGGCCACTCCCTTTCTAACCTTCCCTCCCAATATACCCACTTTATATTATTCATAGGTTTCTGCACTTCTCCTTGTGGCTGTTCTCACACTAGTCCCTCCTCTGGGAGTGTCCTTTTCCAGCTTCTCCACCTAAGCACTCTTCAAGATCCCAGCTCAAATTCTACCTTCACAGAGGGGCTTCCCAGATTTCTCCAGTAAAAATTATTTCATGTGTCCCCAAGAGGGAAGTAAAGGAGGAGGATAAACAAGTGTTTATTAAGCACTTGGTCTATTTCGGATACTTTGCATATGTCAGTTAATCATATGATGCAGGTTTTACTCTATTTTACTTGATAAAGGTAAGATTCTGAGCAGTTAACCAGTCTGAATAAGGTCATAGAACTAAGTGATGGTACTGGGATTTTAACCTGGACAGTCTGACATTAGAATACAACTTTCCAACCTGCCACATTTAGTCTATTTACTAGTGTAAATCCACTCTATTATGGTGTTTTGCTTGTAAAAGGTTTTAGTTAAAGGTTTGCGACATTGAATTCTCTTGCTTCCTTATTCCAGTATCTGTGACAGGATTCTCCCTGCCTTAATCATATAGGAATTGAGTATATTGGGGCTGCAGTTAGCCAGGTAGAGAGCCTGAAAAACAATCAGACATGGCTGCCTCCTGAAGTGTGGGCTTCGTGGATATAGTTAGCAAAGGCTAACAAATCCACTGCCAAGGATCTTGGAAGAGTTTCTACCTCCCTAAGGAGGATGTTGCACTATATTCACAAAATTTTAGAATGTTAGAGTGGTAAAGGGTAATTAGGAAATCACCTAATCCCCAACACTTTTAGTTGTGGGCCCTTTTGTTTAAAAGTGGCTCTGTCTGTAAGTATATATATATTTTTAACAAGTTGAGATAAAGAAGAATCTGTAGGGATAGTCATCCTCACAAACATAAACCCGTAAAACTGGAGCCCAGTTTGTGAAAGTCCAACCCCCTTATTTCACAGATAAGGAGCCTTAAGTTCAAGTCTAGTGATAACCAGGGCTGCCCAGCCACTAGTTCAGAACCCAGTACCTAGCCCAGCCGGTGTGGCTCAATGGGTTGGGCGTCCTCCCGGGCACCGAAAGGTTGCCGGTTGATTCCCAGTCAGAGCACATGACTGGGTTGCTGGTCGATCCCAGTAGGGAGCGTGCAGGAGGCAGCTGATGGATGTTTCTCTCTCGTCAATGTTTCTCCCTCTCTCAAAAACAATAAAACGTTTTTTAAAAAAGAAACCAGTACCTAAACTTCGTAAGGCTCCAATCCCAATGCAGGAGTCATCCTTATGCAGCATTCCTAAGGGCTGCTGTGGACAAAGCATTGCAGTAGTTGCTATGAGGAAGACAGCTATGAACATACCCAGTCCCACCCACTCAGGAGCTCACAACTGCGGCTACAGAGGAACCTTGAGACAAATGACACACACGCTTAACTGGCTTGTAGTTTCCAAACAGACGGAGACAGAAGTCACGACCCTGGCCAGTTCCGGGGCGGGGGCGGGAGGGCAGGAGCAGACCCGGTCGGACCGAGGTGGGAAGCGTGACCGGCGGGGCCACGCCCAGGCCGGCTTGGGGCTTAGTCAACTGGGAAAACCCGTCGCTCCGGCCGAGCTGACCGCTGTCCACGAGCAGCAGTGACGAATCAGCCCGCCCATCCCTGCGCCCGCCGCGGGGGAAAGCCTCCGCCCAGCCAGGCGGAAGGGGCGGGGCTCACGGCGGAAGTCCCGCCGCCCGTCAGGTCACGTGGAGGGGCTGAGCTCGCGCGCAGGTGAGTTGTCCGGGGTCCGCCAGGAGCGGCTCAAACCTCGGCGCGCCGCGCACGCCCACGGCGCACGTGGTCATCCCAGGCCCGGGAGGGACCAGCCCTGTGTCCCGCGTGGAGTTGGACTCAGGAAGGATGCGGGCTGGTTCCGACTGAGCGTCCGAACCTGGGGACCGGCCAGGCTCTGCGGAAAGCCGGAGCGAGCCCGTCCTCGGCAGCGCCTCGTGGGGCGGAGGGCCCCGGTGGCCCTGCCCCCGGGCTGGGGTGCGGTGGCGGGAGGCTGCCGCCTGCATTTCACAGCCCCCCGCGGCCTTCCTGTTTACCCTCTGACCGGAAGCTGTCCAGGAGGCATCCCCCTGAGCCCCTCGCGGGTGGACCGTGGGAGCGGGAGGAGGAGAGGGATGGGTCCCAGGGAAAGCCCAGCGTCTCTCTGCTTGTGGGCGGGCCGTGGCCTGAACCCCTCCTCTTGGCTCGGCAGGAAGCATGGCGCTCTGGCGGGCATACCAGCGGGCCCTGAATGCCCACCCGTGGAAAGTTCAGGTCCTGACGGCCGGTGAGTGCGCCCTGGGACCCGAGCGGGGCCAGAGGCGGCTGATTGGAAGGCAGGCGCTTGCCCCGCCCCCCTCACTTGTCCCTCCTATCCTGCCCCCTTGCAGAGTTGGCTGTCTCGTCCCAAGCTGTCTCCTGTCTGGCTGGGAGGGTGGGTCCCCGTAGGGAAGGGATATGCATAGTTGGTCTAGCTGTTAGGTAGGAGCTGAGGAGTCATCCCTCACGATAAAGGCATTGGCCCAGGAGGCCTTACCTTAGAAAAGTAATCGCAACACAGGGTCCTCTGACATTGTAGGGTGTGCAAGTCACGGTCACACACATTGTCCCCACAGAGCTCTGTGATGAGCTAGGACTACCTGATCCCCATTAGGTTACAGAGGTAATAAGTGTTTTCCTTAGTATTTTTTATTGTGAAATGCATCTTAACACAAAAGAACGATTAAGACATGTAAGTACACTTTCAGTGTCAAAACTGGACACTCCATGAGTACCCAGCTGTGAGACCCCCTGTGCACCTGTCCCTCGTTCAGACTCCCAAGAGACAACCACTGCCCTGGGTTCTGTTTATATCATCCTTTTGCTTTTCTCATGGTTTTTACTACCTATGTACCGTATCCCCAAACAATATACTAACCAAGGGTTTATTTTTACTCCAAATCCAGTGATTAAGTAGCAACTTCACAAAGATAACCCAGTGACTTACCTGCATTTGTTACTGTTACCATTTTCGTTTTGTCGATTGGCTCATGTAAAGGAGGCATGGAGATAAGTTATTATGGGGGAAGAATCATAAGGAGTGTGACTATGGGGCAGCACAAGAGTGATCAGGTTAAGACGGGGGGTTACCATGTTTAGAGGAAGGGAACAGGATTCTAATGAGGACATGGGCTTCTGAGAGGAAGACTTGAAAGGTGGGGGGGAGTAAACAAAACCAGGATGGAACAGCGGTCCTGCTACTAGAATAGCTTCACATCAGCACTAGACACCTCATTGGGGAACTGTCCAAAAGGTGGATTCTTTTGCCCTCCGGCCCCTTTCCAGCCTCCTGTGCCCAACCACCCTATGTCCTGTCCTCAGAGTGTCCGTCATCCTGTATGACTCACCTGGCTGCGTGTGTGGTGACTCATGCTGGACTGTGTGGCTGTGATGGGAACTGACACTCTGGGCCCTTTGCCCAGCCTCAGATTCCCTCAGGGCCCCTAGCTGCCGGAAGGAAGGTTCCCCTTCTTGGCCATTAAGAATAGGGAGGGGGAAAAAGAAAGGAAGAAAAAAGAATAAGGAGGGAAGGATAGTCCCTGCTCAAGGCACCTGCAGCTGACCAGGGCAGGAGTTGGAGCTCCAAGGGGCCCAAGTGCAGATATGTAGCTTAATCGTGTACATACTTGCCTGTCGGGGCTACAGCCCTGTGGCTCCATACCTGCAGTCTTTCTGAGGCAGTGCCAACAGCTCAGCCCCAAAGCAACCGCTGGGTAGCACTTTTCTCAGGCTTTTCCAAACCTTTCAGGCTTCTCTTACCTGCTGCTCAGTTGGATCAAACAAAAAGGAAAGCGAGGAGGTGGGAATTGCTCACCAAGTTGCTTTTAGATCCCAGCACAGTAGTTCCTAAACAGTAGAGATTTCAGACTTGGAATCAGAACACCATGATTTGAATCTCAGAGCCATAGCAGTTGTCGTAGCTGCATGAACAAGTCAATAAACCTCTTTGAGCCTCAGTTTCCTCATTTAGAACTTGAGTTTAGTTATATGATTTCACAGAGTAAGTGTAGGGATTATCTCTGTGAAGGCTTTAGAGACTTAAAACTGTTAATAAACTTTAAGGCTCCAGGGGTTGGCCTGGAGTGTTCTCTGAGTGTTGGCAACCCAGGCACAGCAAGCTAGTCTTTTTAAAACATATTTTTTTTTTCTTCATTTCAGAGAGGAAAGGAGAGGGAGAGAGAGAGAAAAAAAAACATCAATAATGAGAGAATCATCAATCAGCTGCCTCCTGCACGCCCTCTACTGGTGATGGAGCCCAGCACCTAGGCAAGTGCCCTGATGGGGAATCAAACCGTGACCTCCTGGTTCATAGGTGTACGCTCAACTACTGAGCCACACTGGCCGGGCAAGCAGTTCTTTTTATAGAGGTATTTGGGTTGGGTTTGTTCCACTTGCCAGAAACCTTAACATGAGCTTTGGTTGGGTTACTCAGTTGGTTAGAGCGTTGTCCTGATATGCCAAGGTTGTGGGTTTGGTCTCTGGTCAGGGCACATACAAGAAGCAACCAATGAATGCATAAATAAGTGGAACGATGAATTGATGCTTCTCCATCTCATTCCCTTCATCTCTTTAAAACCAAAGCATTAAAAAAAATCTGAACATGGACCACTATCTTAGCCTTGGTTCTCCAAAAAGCAGAACCTGAAACTTCTGTGCAAGTACTTTATAAGGGCCCATGGGGGAAGGAGGAGGAAGAGCTGATTTAAGGACACATTGTTAAATTGGACACTGCTTAAGGCACCTAGCTGCTCAGTCCCTTAAAACTGACTGGGAAGCTCTTTGAAATGCCTCTTAGGACTACATAGGTGAGTAGTCTTTTCTGGAGAAAAGGAGAAACCTTTACCCACTAGCTGCCAACTCATTGGTTAAAGGTTCGCCACGTGGGATGTTAATGCCCATTTACTACCAAATTGCACATGCATGGTCCCCAAGTAAAGCATCCACAGTGCAGCCCCCGATGTGGCATAGGCAAGAATCTATCAGGTTGAATTGCTGTAATGGCTGGAATAAGATAAGTGAATCAAGATCTGAAATGGTTCAAAAGAAGTGTCTGATAACATTCAGTTTGGACCAAGCCAGAGTCAGGAACAGGGCGGCCTGGGCAAAGGTCTGCTGTGTTTTGCAGAATTTGAGTCCGCCTTCTCCCATCCTTTCTTAAGGGCCTTTCCAGTCTTCAGAGGACCCAAGGCCCAACTCCATGCATCTTAGCCAACCTGGGCCTGCTGTGGGAGCACCTGAGCTTCTGCAGACACTGGTTTCCCTGGAGTCTGAATTAAACCAGGATGTAAGAGCTCATCCAGTCCAGCCCCTGATATTACAGAAAAGGAAACTGAGGCAAGGAGGGGGACATGCACTGAGGTCCCACATCATCAGTGGTAGAGCTGGCGTTAGAACCCATGGCGCTTGCCAGTGCACTGCCCTGTACTTGAGACTCCTGGGGACTCAGGATGCTGAGTGTAGCCCCAGCTGGTCTACACTATAGAACCCTATGTTTGGTCTCATTTTCTAGCCGTAGGATAGATAGTCCAGGTCAGGGGTGGGGAAGACATTCAGACCAATCCCAGAGGATGCACTCTCCCCTTTCTGCGGGGCTCCAGCTCCCTCTGGGCTCTGCCAGACCAAGCCCCTATGCCAGGCAGCTATTGACTTGGAGGCTTCTGTGGAGGAATGAGTCAACAGCACCTCTGGCCCCACACCAGCAGCTCTACCTGACAGCTCGGGTCTCCTGGACGCAAGGACACGCTTCCTGCCCTTCATGCCAGCTTTCTGCCCCCAGCCTGTTCTCTTCCATTAACACTTTTTTTCTTGCCCCTAAGACTCCATGCACAAAAGCCAGGAGAGGAACAAAATAGAGAACTTACTCTCACCTGGACCTAGGAAGAGGGGATAGAACTTGGGGCTTTTCCACTAGTAGACAGAGGAGTGGTCCCAATTACCTCTGTGCTCAGAGGCAGCCCGCCCCCCCCCCCCAAACCCGCCCCCACTCTGCTGAATCCGGTCTCGAGTGACGGCATGAGAACTGGCACCTACCCAGGGGTATGATGTCACGCCAGCGCCAACGTCTGCCTGCTGGGCTCTGTGCCCAGCCTAGCTTTGGGGCATCACTGGCCAGCAGCCCCTCACCCTGCCCCATCAGGGCTCAGGCAGTATGTTTCTGCAGGCCTCCAGCCCCAACCCCCTGGGGCTAGAGGGCCAGAGCATGGGGAGGGCCAGACCAACCAAATATGCCTAAAAGGGCTCCCACACCTGGGCTTGGGTAAGATGGAATACGGAGTCTGAATGTCAGCCTTTCCTGCCCAGTCACTTGGACCAGAAGTGTAGGCCTTGCTCTGTGCGGGGACCGAAGCCACAGACCACCCTGGAGTTGCTGAGGCCCAGGGGCCTGATAATTTGTGGACAGAAGGGAACCTCGGTCCTGTCCTGTCTGAAATGGACAGAACTGGCGGGGCTACTGAGCTACATCCACCTGTCCTGCTGCTGCCCTATCACTCGGGGTGTCTGGGGTTTGGTGTGCGTGGTTAGGGGCCTGGAATCTCTCTCTCTCAAAGGCTGCCCGAGTACGGGGCTAGAATTGGGACTTTGGTTTTCATTCCTGCTCTGCCTTGAGCTTGCTGTTGACAGTGGTCAAGCATAAGAGTGGAAACACACAGCTGTCTCTGTGACAGTTCCTTTCTCAGGAATCTCGCTTCGCTCCCCACAGGTGACAAGGAACAGATGGTCTCACATTCTAGGGAGTGAAAAACAGAGGATTATCTTTGAGATGCAGGCTTCCGGGGCCTGCTTCCGGCAGAAGGCAGGAACCCCCTGCGAGTGGCAGCCACAGGAGCCTTTTGGCGCCCTCCGGCCCCGATGGCCAAGTCAGCCTATTCTGGGAATTCCCTGGCCCTCCTGTTCCTCCTCGAGAGAAGGCCTGGGTTCAGGCCCCCAGCTCCACTTCTCATCAAGTCCCTCTTCTCTCAAAGACAAGTGGGTGTGGTACCCCAACCTCCCAGACCTTTTGTGAGGACGGAATGTGTGTGGGCCCTTTGTAAACTCTAAACACCTTGCTCCAGGAGAATGTTAAGCTGTCAGTCTTTTCATTTAACAAGCGCCTGCCTTTCTGTCCATCCTCCTGGGACTTCTCAGGGTCGCTCTTCCCTTTAGGCATGGCCACAGTGGCCCCCTCCCCGGCCTGGGAGTGCAGCTGGTGACCCCGTTGTCAGGGAGGGGCATAGGGAGTTCAGTGCTAACTAGGGGAGCAAGCCTTCAGTTCCACTGGTCCTCACACCTTGAGCCCGACGTGGTCCTTGGGCTAGACTTCAGAGTTCTTTAATGCCCTTTCCCAGAGTAGGCCTGTTTGGGGTAGTACTTTTGACGTTTCTCCTTGCTTTACTTTCTGAGCACCTGCCAGGGGCTCGGTTACGTATGGCTGAGGATGAGAGAACACAGATGCCTAGGATCCTGTCCTTGTCCTTTGGCAGGTGGCAACTAGTCATGTTCTGGGAAGGCCCTCCACCACTATGGGGGTTTCAGGGAGAGGAGAGGCAGGGCTGTCTTAATGGGTGTGCTGAGACCGGCAGCCTCGGTCACCTACAGGTGTCCCAGCTCTAGCTCTCAGCCTTGCCCGGCGGCCTCTGACGAGGCTGCTCAGGGGCAGAGCTGTGCAGAGGGTGCGGGGGAAGAGCAGTGAGTGTGCAGCCAGCACGGACGTCAGAGCCAGCTCCCAGCCAAGGAAAGGGTTGAAGGATGTGTTTGCCCAGTGCTAATTGAGGGCACAAGGACAGTGGTGGCTACGGGGCTGGAGGGGGACTCTCATTACTCTGTGAGATGGACAGGCGAGCTGGAGATCATACGGTCACTCCCAAGCAGCCCTATATATATAAGTATTTGCTAGAAACCATCACGCCACCATAGCTGAAGGGGGGCTCTGTAAATAGTCTTGGTCTCTGGTATGGGCATCTGACAAGGGCTGCTTAGAGCTGGGTATCCGTGCAAGCGAAGGGAGGGGCGGGCAGGAAACGGGTATAGAAGCTGGGGGAGAAATGGCTATAATACCTATTGCCAGCTCAGTCTGAGATTGTGAGTGGGGAAATTGGGTTTACCTGATTGTGTTAAGAGGTGGCCAGGACTCCTCCCTATGGGGACTCTTACCACCTCAGCCAGTCATCTTCCTAACCAGGGCCATTTGAACACTCATTCTTTTTATATATATATATTTTATTGATTTTTACAGAGAGGAAGGGAGAGGGAGAGGGAGTTAGAAACATCCATGAGAGAGAAACATGGATCAGCTGCCTCCTGCACACCCCCCACTGGGAATGTGCCCGCAGCCAAGGTACATGCCCTTGACTGGAATCGAACCTGGGACCCTTCAGTCCGCAGGCTGACGCTCTATCCACTGAGCCAAACCGGTCAGGGCAAACACTCATGTTTTAAAAAAAGAGTTATTCTTGCTGTTATCCACAACTGGAGACCCCAAGACCAAGGTGAAGGACATTGACCAGGGTCTTGTCTTGGGTTTTGGGGAAAAAACCAGGGTTCCTTACCATTCCACACATGACCTATTCATAGTGTGGTGTCCTGGAAAGAATACTGTTCAGTAAATCAAACCACCTGGTTGTGCCTTGGCTCTGCCACTTACTGGATATGTGAGGTTGCAGGCCTGTATTCCCATACCTCTAAGTTATGTGGAAGGCCTTTCTGATTCTGACAGGTTCTCAGCCCCTGGCACCTTAGATTTCTCCTTTCTCTAGCTTCAATTTCTGACTCTGACTTCACTTGATTTCTCAGTGCAGAGTTCTCGGGCCTGCCCTGCTCAGGGCTGCTCATCACAGTTTCTAACAGTACACACATGAGGTGTCACCATCCTTGGGAGAGGAGAACTTGGAAGCAGCAGCAAGGGACTGGCCAGAATAAGCCCTTGGGCCCAGAGTGCCAGAGCCTCATTCAATCAGCAGGCTTATCCAGCTCCTTGGAGTGGCAGCCCATCCGGGAGGTGTCCTGACAACACCTGTGTACCCTGCACAGGGTCCCTGATGGGCCTGGGTGACATTATCTCACAGCAGCTGGTGGAGAGGCGAGGTATGCGGAAACACCAGATTAGCCGGACCCTGACCATGGCCTCTCTGGGCTGTGGCTTTGTGGTAAGTTTGCCCGTAGCAGGGCTGCTGGTGGTCTGTTTCCCTTGGCCTCTCGCACATCTACGCTTACCTGAGTGTATGCTTGTCCTGGGATTTGGTTTCTAATGCTTGGGGGAGGAGCTGTGTGCTGTAAAAGCCAACTGCTTCCCTCATTGCATCCCTGCCCCCTCCCTGGGGTTTACTTTCAGGGCCCTGTAGTAGGAGGCTGGTACAAGGTTTTGGACCGGCTCATCCCTGGCACCACCAAGGTGGATGCTCTAAAGAAGATGTTGTTGGACCAGGTGAGCAGAAGGAAAGGGAGGTTGAGAAGGGTGAGCTGCATCGGGACAGTGGGGTTTAGGTGCTCACAGCATTTTCATTTCTCTTCCCTAGGGGTGCTTTGCCCCGTGTTTTCTAGGCAGTTTCCTCTCACTGACAGGGGCACTCAATGGACTGTCAGCCCAGGACAACTGGGCCAAACTCCAGCGGGTGAGTTGGGCAGGTGTGGGGTGATCTCTGGCTGTCCGGCTGGCATGCCCAGGGCAAGGAGGCAGGCTTCATGGGAATAAGACAGGTGGATGTGCAGGGAGAGTCCCAGCTCTGGAGGAGAGGGGTGAGGGAGGTGTGGTGAAGATACGTGTTCTTTGCACAGAAGTCTGTGTGTGATAGGACTGGGAGGCAGGAGCTGCATGGAAGTGCAAGTAACTTCTTCCTTCTTTGTCTCCTTAGGATTATCCTGATGCCCTCATCGCCAACTACTATGTAAGAGCTGGCACCTCCGCAGCCTGTGTTCCTGCTTCCTTGAGTCCAGAAGTGCCCAGGGATTGGGGGTGCTCCTGACATAGAAACCCCTTGGTTGGGATTACTCTCTCATTCCCAGTGCGGGCGGCACACTCCGAAGCAGTCACCCAGTTGTTCAGCTGGTTTTTGTTTACAGCTGAACATGGGCCAGTTCTCATGGGGGTTGGTTGCTGGTCAGAACTTAATAGGGTCAGCACTGTGAAATGGCCCATTTCACTCGGGATGGGGTCGGGTAATGGAGGCAGCCCCCCAACATTGACCTTCTCTCTCTTGTAGCTCTGGCCTGCTGTGCAGCTAGCCAACTTCTACCTGGTTCCCCTCTATTACAGGTATGACAGTTCCCTGCCCTACCCGTCAAGGGAGAGCCGAATTGTGAACAGTTAGAGATAAAGAGATTTTCATTCAGCCTTGAGCTACTTTATTTTTTTTTTTTAATTTATTTTTTTGTTAATCCTCACCTGAGGATATTTTTTCCATTGATATTTAGAGAGAGCGGAAGGGAGGGGGAGAGACATAGAGATACATCGATGTGAGAGAGACACATCGATTGGTTGTCTCCCGCATGCGCCCTGACTGGGGCCAGGGATGGAGCCTGCTACCAAGCTACATGCCCTTGACCAGAATCAAACCTGGGACCCTTCAGTCCAAGGGTTGATAGGGGCAAGCCGGCTGGGGCTTGAGCTACTTTACACGCCCCCCCAGAATACTCTGCCCTGACCAGAGCTCCTAGATTCCTGAGTATCTTCCCACTGACCTTTCATCTCAGGGAGGGTCCTGCTCCATAGCCATTGGCTCATCCCACCAGAGCTCTCCACCCTTGCTGCAGGGACAGTACCTAGGTGCTGCAGCCTAGATTAGACAGAAAGGTAGGCCAAAGAGCCATATAGCTGAGTTTAGTCCACATGTCGGGTTAGTCCACTGCAAAATATTATTTTACCCTAATAATAAAGGTAGTTGCTGAAACTACAATTTAACAAAGTTGAATTCAAGATGACTGGTTGAAATTATTGGAAGTGAGGGGGCTTTGGGAACAGGGAAAAAATACAAAACTCTTAAGAGAGGACATGGTCAAAATGTGCATGAATAGCATAGCTAAAAGGGATATAGACTTAATGAACCAAAATTTAAACAGGAGGGTCCTTGCAACAGTCTTTGAAACTAAAACAAGGTAAAATAAAGAGAAGAAGGCACTTTCAATGGCAGATAGTACATTTTGAAGACGAGGTCTTCTCAACATAGGTACATGTGTTTAGAAGGAGCCTGCACAGGGGCATGAACAAGAGCCACGCAAGGCCAGATGGCTGCTGAGGGCATTTCACTTCGAGGCTCTTGTGCAGGAAACAGCTCTGGGACAGCACGAGCCCTGAGCTGGTTGTCCTCTGGTCTGAGCCACATACCCCTCCGTAGAGGGCTAGAGGAAGGAGATCTGAATGTGGATGTTCTCAGAGCTAACACCTCCTCTTCCATCACATTCTCCTGTCTCTCCCCCTTTGCTGTCTCCTTACCCATCCTCTTCACGATGCCATTCCTGTTCCTTAGGTTGGCTGTTGTGCAGTGTGTTGCTGTTATCTGGAACTCCTACCTGTCCTGGAAGGCGCATCAGCTCTAAGCTTGCCTTGCAGTGATGCAGCTTGACCCTGGAATGGTCAGATGACCTCCTCAAAGTGGGCACATCAGTTTTCATGGGGTTTGGTTGCTGGTCAGAACATAATGGGGTCAGCACTATGAAATGGCCCGTTTCACTCTAAAGTGTGAAAGGACTCCTTTTGAATTCACTGAAATCTTTATTGTGGTCTGTGCCCGCCACATGATAGGCAGTCCGTAGTATTGGCTGGACCCTATGATCTTGGCAACTTTAGCTTATGCCCATATCCTGGCAAATGCCATTTATCCCCACTCTTCATTGATACAGTTGTTTCTCTAACCATTTCCAACCCCAGTGTAGCTCCAGTTCTTTGGGGATCCCCTCAAACTCTTTACGTGGTACTTCCATAAATATGGAATTGGTACCTCTATAAAAATGTCATCTGGAACCTGCAGAGGCCATGAGTAAGACCCAACAGAAAAATACTAGGGAGTCAATTTCTAGAGATGGAAAGAAAAGCCTAGAGACCGCCAAGCCCAGTCTTCACAGACGAAGACAATGAGGTCCATCGAAGTGAGGACCTGTCCACAGCACAAGTTAGTGGCAGAACAGGAACTTGAACCCGTGTCCTAGGGGTGGCACTTTTTTGTATAACCCCAAGTTCACATGGTGGAAAACCCAATGTCCAAGGTGACAGTATTAGGAGGTGGGACCTTTGGGAGGTGATAAGGTCATGAGGGCAGAGCCCTCACGGGATTTGTACCCTTATAAAAGCTGCCTGTGAGGACACAGCAAGAAAGTGCCGTCTAACCCATTAAGCAGGTCCTCAGAAGACACCGAGTTCATTGGCGCCGTGATCTTGGACTTCCCAGTCCCCAGAACTATGAAAAATAAATGCTCATTTATAAGCCACCCAGTTTTGTTTGTTTGTTGTTACAGCACCTCCAATGGACTAAGACACCATGTTTCCTTACTTTCTACCAAGGGATCTTAACCAGGAAGTCAAAGATACAGTGATGGTGCTACTGTGATTCCCAGGAGAAAAATTAACTTGACTGAACTACCACTCTGGGGCAAAATCAGAAGAGATGGGTCAGCTTTTTATGGTCTGAAAGTATGCGGCGGCCAGAAATCTTTTTTTATGGTGCCCAGTCAGCCCTAGAATTTAGATCCTGGGGCTGGAGTAAGATCAAGAATCCTGGCCAACTCAGCTGCCTCTTGGGTGGGTACCCTGGTGATGGCTCAGTGCCAGCTGTGCTGTCCTGGTTGCCTCAGTTTACAAAACGGTCTGTGCAGCACAGCATGCTCCCAATGCCGCTGATCCCTCTGGGGGCCGAGGGCAGGGTCAGCACCACGGACAGCCCCACGATCCAGCCGCCCTTTCTTGTGCCAGAGAAGACTGGCGGTCTGTTCTGGTCTGGGGACCGGCCTAGTCACTGCAGACTGTTCTCGGTGGTGAACGACTCATGGCGCCCAGAGCAAGCTTTCCGCCCCAGCCAGCGCCTTGCTCACTGGAGTCCGCTTTCGCTTCCAGCGCAAGCCCCAGAGACCTGCCCCTCGGGGGACCCGCTGGACTCGAAGCCGCGACCGTCATTGCTCTACAACCGGTGCATGTCCCTTGCTGACGTCAGCCGGAGCGGCTTGGAGCTATATAAGCTGGCGGCGGTCCTGGGACAGACCCCGTGTTTCCCCGGCGCCCTCAGCCCGCCCCAGGGACCGACCGGCTCCGTCCTGCGCTGCGCAGCCGCTCTTCCCGCACCTGTGAGTGGCCCTGGCGCGCCCGCCGGACTCCCTCTGCACCAGGACTCGGCACTCCGCTCACTTACGGGGGCCGCTAAGAGGGAGGGGGTGGGAGGGAAAGGGTGGCACAGGACTGGGCAGCGGCTGGGGCTGCAGGGAAGGTTGCGGGCACCGGGCAGCAGCCGAAGGGGACCTGCGGGGACGCTGGACGTGCACGGGAAGGGGAGCGGTGCCACCTGCGACTGCTCCACGCGCACCTCACCCTGCGCTGCTCCTGTGTGTCCAGGGCCGGCGGCACCATGAGACTGGCCGGACGAGAGGCGCTGCTGGCGGCGCTGCTGCTTCTGGCACAGCTGCGCCCGGGGAGCAGCCAGTGGAGCCCGGAGGAGGCGGCGGCGGCCAGCGTCCGGGACCCGAGTCTGCGCTGGAGCCCCGGAGCTCGGACCCAGGGCGGCGGGGCCCGCGCGCTCCTCCTGCTGTTGGCGGAGCGCTTCCCCCACCGCGTGGGGCCCGGCAGATGGGGAGCTGGGACCGCAGGCGAGCGGCCGCGACGGGAAGACCCTACGCTGTCCATCGACCTCACCTTCCACCTCCTGCGGACCCTGCTGGAGCTGGCGCGGACGCAGAGCCAGCGGGAGCGCGCGGAGCAGAACCGCATCCTGTTCGACTCGGTGGGCAAGTGACCCGCGGGGCCTGGGGCCCCGAAAACCACGACCCCACTCCCCACCCCCGGGCTGGCACCTGCTCGACCGGAACTGACCCATCCCGCGGGGCTGGAGCGGCCGGGGATGCCTTGAACACTCTGCGTTGCTAGTTTTTAATAAAAGTGCCGAAGAGCCTTTGGCCTCTGTTGTGGGGCGCGGGGAGCAGGGTGGGCGCCCACAGCGAAGCGAGGGAACTGCTGCCAGACGAGCACTTAGGAGAACGGTCCAGATCTCCATCGCCCCTAGAAGTCCCCCAGGAGCGCGTCCCTTCCCTCCACCGCACCCCCTACTCCTTGCCCGCGGCTGGGCTGGGGAATCTGTGCCTCCAATCAACGAGGTGCCCAATAGGGGTTCATTCACTCCCCCCACCCCCGCCCGCTGGTCCCAGATCCGGAGAAGGGGGGACAGGGAAGGTCGCCCCCGAAGCCAAGGCTGATGGGCAGAGAAAGGAGCTGCGGATCGGCCGCGTTAGCCTTTATTGAGCTTCCCCGGCGGCGGGTGCCAGCGGGCGCGCGTGGTCTCTGCGCAGATCCTCGAACCCGGAGCGCGGGGTCCCCACAGGGAGGCTCAGTGCAGGCCTGTCCCCGGGAAAGGACGCGCGGTGAGCGGGGGCTCCGAGGAACAAGGCGACCGGACCCCGGCTCACCCCTCTCCCAGCCCGGGGGTGTCTCACTTCCCCGCCCTCTGCCCTCCCCCAGCAGAGGGAGGGTCGGCGGGAAAGAAAGTGTCGGGGGGGACGTGGGAGAGGGCGGGGGGGGGGGGGGATCAATGGGGATGGAGATGACATTTCATTGAAAAAGAATAGAAAGTGTCCCTCCGCCCGGCGCCAGGGGCGCTCCCTCCTGCCGGGGGCGCGGCGGCCCCGAAAAGGCGCGGAGGCTACAGGCGGGTCCCGGCCCCGCAGGGCGGGCGACCGCGGGAGGAAGGGACAGCCCGCGGCCCCGCCGGCCGCCCTCACCTTCCGGCCGCTCCTCCTCGGGCCCTGCGCTGCCCTCTTCTCCGTCCAGCGCCACCTCCTCGTCCTCTTCCTCCCCGGCCGCGCCTGGGCCGGAGGAAGACCGTGAGGCGGTGTCCCCGAGGCTCGGGCCGCCGCCCAGCTCCCCCCCACCCCCACCCCCGGGTCGCGACAACCCCGCCCGCGGCCCGGCCCCTCCCCGCCCCTCGCCCTCACCCGGCTGGAAGTCGATGGTCCTCAGCATGTCGGCCACGTGCTCCACGCTCACGGAGAACTGCTCCATGCTCTCATAGCCCGGCTCCGGCCGCCCCGCCAGCTCCACCTTGGACATGGCCCCGACCCTGCAGCGGGGGCGCGCAGCGCTCAGCACCCTCCCCCCGCCCGCCCCCTTCCCACGGCAGCGAAGCCCCCACGCCCCTTCGCTCCCTCCCGCCCCGCCTACTCACTTATTGATCAGCTCCTTGGCCTGCTGTAAGGGAGGAAGGAGGGCGAGAGTAAGCCCGGGCCAACCGCTGGCCATGGCCCACTTCGAATGCCCACCGCAGTCCCGAAGGGTCTGCAGGCAGGGCGGACACATCCCCATTCCTAAGCACAAAGCGTTCTCAGAGGGGGTGACTGGCCCAAGGCCGGGGGCATGTAGGGGCCAGAGATCGGCCTTGAACCCGGGCCTTCGGGTGCCCCACCCCCCTCGCCCGCTCTAGCCACTGCGCAGCCTGTCAGCCACGCCGGGGCCCACCTGCAGGTAGAGCGCCATCTGTGGCTCCTCCATGGACTGGATGGCGGACTCCACGAGCTTGGAGGAGGCCTCCAGGTGGTCCCCGTACTGGCGGATGAGGCCCCGGACACGCTGCAGCTTCTGCTCCTGCTCGCGGGCCAGCGCCTGCAGCAGCTCGCCCTTCCGCTCCTCCAGCACCGCGCACAGGGTCTCGAACCTCTGGTTCAGCAGCTGCTTCTGCCTCCGGCTGTTGTCCTGAAAGACGGGAGTGGTGACCTCTGACTTCTCATGGCGGGGAGAGCGCCTGGCTACTGCCCCGCTGCTCCCCGCTTAGTGCAAAGCTCAGGGAGCCCAAAAGAAGAGTGACTTGTCAGTTACGCTCCAAATTAGTGGCAGAGGGAACGCCAGCCACGGGCTGCGGATGCCCAGATCTTTTCAGAAACAATAGCACAATATTTTTAGAGATACAACTGACACATAGTATCCTATAAGTTTCAGGTGTATAATGTAACGATTCCATATTTGTATATGTGGTGAAATGATCACCACAATGTGTCTAGTTAACATCTGTCATCATGCATACTTACACTTTCTTTTAATGTGATGAGAACTTTCAAATCTACTCTCAGCCAGTAACAATACTTTAGTCTCATGCGGGCTGTCTATGTCTCTGGGCCTGGTTTTTACTTGTTTATTTAGAACTAAATTATCACATGTAGTTCTCATAAAGATCCAATGAGGTAGGCGCCATAACAGTCTCATTATTACCATTTTACGTAGTCAAAAACAAACAAAACCAAAGCACAGAGAAGTTAAGTAACTGGACCAAAGTCACAGAGCTAGTGAGGGGCAGAGCTGAGATTCGTATCTGGTAGCCTGGCTAAGCTCATCCCATTACTTGTGATCCACCTCCAGGAGCCCAGAAAGTCTCCCTGCCTCCCACCCAGGCTCACCTCAATGGTTTGGCACACCTCCTCCATCTGTGTGATCACGGCTTGCACACGGTCATTGCCCGCCACCAGCATCGCGATGCCATCACTGAGCTCACTCTGCCACACACACAGGCCAGCACTTAGGGCTGGAGGACCTGGTCTAGCACTGTACCCCTCCCACTGTAGCCAGGGCTGCCTAGGAGAGAACTGCCCCCTCACCCCACCATTAGGGCACCTTCAGGGCAGCTATTCCAGAGACCGAGAGGGTGTGGAACCACCCAAGAAGTGTGGAAGCACACCGGATGGACTCTGGAAGGTTGAGAGGGGAAGTCCTCTACCACCAAGTGAGACATTCACCAAATACCCACCAAGGGCCAGGCACTGGGCTAGGTGCTTTATCTGTAGATTCATGCCTTCCATCGATTCTGAAAAATTCTTCGTGATTGTCTATTAGGATAACATTGCTTCTTCTCCATTCTCTTTTTTTTTTTATCATTGTGTGACTCTGATTAGATATGTGTTAGACCTTCTTACTCTCAACCTTCTCATCTCCCTGTGTTGCATTCTATGCTTTTTCCCCCAGCCCACTTTTCCTATTTACAAATTCTCTCTTCAGAGAGATCTCTCATTTAATTCATCCTTTGAATGTTTTATTTCAACAATTGTATTTTTATTTCTAAAAGCTCTATTTGGGTCTTGGTAAAGTCTGCATTTTTGATAGTCTAGTATTGCTTGGGTTTTGTTTTGTTTTTTGGTATTGCTTGTTTTTTAATCCCATCTTTTTTATAGCGTTTTATATGCAGTGCCTTTCTAGTCTTTAACAATTCCAATATCTGAATTTCTTGGAGGTATAAGTCTATAATGTT